CCCCGCAGTTTCTTTTCCAACTGCAGCTATTTTTCCCTGCTGACTTCAGGTGTTTTGTATTCTGCTTAGATCAATAGCAGTAGAACAGCAGCAGCTTTCCAGTTGTCACTAGGAAGACCCTGCTGTCAGCTACAGCTCACCCATTTTCTGCCAGTGCAGTACTGGGGATGGAGAGCCCTTCTGCTTGCCTGACAAACACAAAGGAAAGCTGTGCAGTACAGGAGCGCTGTATTGATTATTTTTATTTTATTTTGTTTAAATCCAGCCTGGGGAAAACAGTGTTCTTCCCATGCTTCAGCAGCTGGGTTTGCCTTCCTGTACTTGGTTTAAGAGGGAATAAACTGGGCTGTCTGCAATGCCCCTGCCCACGTGGGAGGGGAGGGTGTGAGGCAGCACTGTGGGGAGCCGCGTCCTGCTGAGGCTGCCGCTGCCGTCTTTGCTGCGTGGCTCTGCCAAGGGAGCTGGTCCCTGGTGATACGCTGCTTAGCAGCCCCCGAGACACAAGCAGGAAGAGCAAATCCATGGCCTAATCCGACAAACGTGCCAGGACCACGTTAGCTGATGTGAACATTGGCCCCCATTCATAGATTTTTTTTAACAATCTCTGATATTTATGTTAGCCTGGAGCAAATCAATGCAAGTATTTTTCTTCATCAAACAAAAAGTGTTCACTGAAACACATACAACCTTTGTGCACATCTTCCATCGAAGTGCCAAAGTAGGAAATGTCTGTTGGAAACCAACACACCAGGCATGGCTTTGCTCTCAAGAGCGTCTGTATTTCCTCGGCTTTCTCTCTTTTTGGAACCGGACTGTTTTATGAATTCCCTCACCGTCAGAATCCGAGGAGCACAGTTTCAGCTCTTGATCAACTCTTGACGCAGTGACACGTGCTGAGACGATGCCCATGCTCGGCTCGAGCTAGCGCCTCAGTGGATGGCTCTGCTTCCATCCAGATGACTCGGAAGCAGCCCTCCCTCTTGTTTGGGCTATCCTAAAACATGCTCTAGACTAGGAAACATGGTGGGATGTTAGATGATCTCTTGAGGGCTCGGTAGAGGTGAGGTAATGTAGTCTTAAGTGCAGTACTAAGCTAGTTGTGTTGAAGCCCAAGTACTCATGTGGCAAGTTAGCGTGTATCGAGGGTGGGTAGGACACCTCCACACTAAACTGTTAGCCGATGCTTTCTGCTACCGTAGCAGCAACTCCAAATTTGTGTCCCCTCTAACTTGTCTCTGCTGTGGGCAGAGGTTACAGATCTCCTGGGCTTTCAAGCTGAAAGCTTCACTAGTCTAAAATTCAGTGAGCGTGTAAGTGCTGTTCTGTCCCCAGAACAGAGAATGCATTGATAAATGTGGAAGGCTGGACTCAGTTTAATTATTGAGCAAAGGCAGGTAACAGCAAGCAGAACGCATAGAGATTAAGTCTTTGATGAAGGAGAGAAATTTCAGTAAGAAGCAAGGCTGTGATGTGGAAGCTCTGAGTTTGTGATGACCATTGGGAACGTGGCTCTCGCCATCAGCAGGGTTTGCTAACAACAGAAGCCAGCACCTCGGTGTGCTGGAACCCAACCACGTGCAGGAAGGGGCCAAGACTGTTTAATTAGCAAAACCCGTTAGCAGCGTGCTGTGTACCACCACAAAGTGCTGGAGAGCTCTAGTAAACTGTGAGCCTTGAAGGGAAATGCAGCTCAAGGTCTCGGTGTGAGGAGGAAACGAGCAGCTTCCAAGGAAAAGTGTGGAAGGATGTGAAGAGGAGAGCAGGGGCTGGACGCATGGCAGCTCTCCTGCGCATCCTGGATCTGCTGGGCTGTGGCAAACGATGTCCTCCCTGTTCTTCCCACTAGTTCAGTGCATTGTCACTCTGTATTTTGCCGAGCGTGTTGTGGTGGGTGGAAATCTGGAATAAACATATTTCTTCTTCAGCTTTCTCGTGTAGTTTGAATTAAACTTCCTAATAAAGCAATTGTTATTTTTCTAATCTGATTCTCCATTTGTAAATGCTGTTCTGCCCCTTGCAGTACCTTGACCTCCTCCTCCTCTCTGGCGGGGGGCTTGGTGTGATGCTTATTTCTGCTTTTTGCACTTTCCTGAGGGGTTCCACCTGCCAGCTCCTGGGGATGACTCGTCTTCCAGCTTCTGATCTTTGCGAGGGCAACAGGGAGAAGTTCGCTGATGAGGTTCGTGGGGCGAATCTGCCTAAGGTAGGTGCGAGGGGGGGAGGTACCTGCCTGCAGGAGCTTCACCACAGCAGAAGGCTCCGCTGTGAAACAACTCCCGGCCCTTCTGCGCCCCGCGAAGCCGCTGAGGCCCTGGGGGAGCAGCGAGCCAACCCCCCGCGGAGCTGCGGGCCTTCAGTCGGGCTGGGTG